GGGCAGCGGGCCAGCCCCGGCCGCGTGCACCGGGTCCCGCGGACGGGAGGGCGCCGGAAGTACGGGGCAACACCGCTTTGTCCCTGCAGCAGACTTCCGGGGGCGCGTTCCGAGCGCGGGGGCGCATGCGCAGAGGCGGGGCCGCGGCGCGCACGCGTTCTCCGGGCCCTTCGGGGGGGTCCGGACCGCTGCGGGGACCGGTCCCTATGGGTGGGCGCGGCCCTGCCGGTTCCCTTTGTTGTGCTTAGAATCCTTTCCACCCTTTTGTAGCCGCCTGTGCGGTTTTAAACGGCAACAAAGTGCACTCTGTTGTGAAACTGTTGCAGATGTGCGCTGCTTTGTGACATTGTTGCCGGCTGAGCTCTGGCAACGTTGTTGCCGCGACTGTCAAGTTGTTAGCTGTTAGGGCAGCTTAGCGGCCGCGTGCACGAGTTAGTTTTCTAAGGATACCTTCCGGTTGGGTTATTGCTGGTCATTTGGGGAAGACCCTCGTGTGACCCCCTGATAACTCTACTCTCCAGGTGCAACATGCCAGCAAGCAGATCGCAGCCGACAAGCAGTACAAGGGCATCATGGACTGCATCGTGCGCATCCCCAAGGAGCAGGGCATGCTCTCCTTCTGGAGGGGCAACATGGCCAACGTCATCCGCTACTTCCCCACGCAAGCCCTCAATTTCGCCTTCAAGGACAAGTACAAGCAAGTGTTCCTGGGGGGTGTGGACAAGCACACGCAGTTCTGGAGGTATTTTGCTGGCAACCTGGCTTCCGGGGGCGCCGCGGGAGCCACCTCCCTCTGCTTCGTCTACCCCCTGGATTTTGCCAGAACCCGTCTGGCAGCTGACGTGGGGAAATCTGGCGCTGAGAGGGAGTTCAAGGGCCTGGGAGACTGCCTGGTGAAGATCTCCAAGTCAGATGGCATCCGTGGCCTGTACCAGGGCTTCAATGTCTCTGTGCAGGGCATCATCATCTACCGGGCCGCCTACTTTGGGGTGTATGACACAGCCAAAGGTGGGTGTGTTCTCTGCCAGGGCAGGTGCGACAAGGGTGCTTGGTAGAAGACTTGTGGTTTCAGTCCCAGAGGGTGGAATCTGAGACCCAGGTGTGGGAGGGGCTGATTCTTTCTGAGGCTTCTCGCCTTGTCTTGTAGATGGTTGTCTCCTCCCTGTGTCCTCTTACGGTCATTCCTCTTTGTGTGTCTGTCCTAATTCTTTTTTTTTTGGTTTTTCTTTAAATCCTTACCTGAGGATATTTTTTCTATTGATTTTTAGAGAGAGTGGGGGGAGGGAAACATCGCGTGAGAGAGACACGTCTATTGGTTGTCTGCCCCATGTGCCCAACCTGGGGCTGGGGATCAAACCCAAGAACCTTCAGTCCAAGGGCTGATACTCTAACCATTGAGCAGAACGGCCCAGGGCCTAATGTCTTCTTCTAAGGACACCAGTCCTATTGGGTCAGAGCCATTAAGACCCCGTTTGCAAATACAGTCCCATTTTGAGGCCCTGGGGTTTGGAGCTCCGTTGTGAATTTGGGAAGGATGCAGTTTAGTCCCTGAAGGTCAGGGCCCCGGCCTGCTCCCGCTGGCAGCTCTGCAAGGAAACAGCTTTGAATGTGTGATGTGCCCACTTCCAAGGCTCGTCCACCCCCTGGACTGGAGAGGCCACTCCCAAGCACTAAGCTGTCCTCTGCAACTGTCTCCTGTAGCTTACAGGTTGCTTCCCTCACCCCAGCTCCTGTAGCTGATGTTATCCTGATCTCTCCAAAACCACCTGGTCCTGGGAATGGCACAGGGTGTGTGGGGAGGTGGGGGGCAGGAGGAATGATATAGCTCTGATCTTGGGCGGCCATGTGGGGTGCTGGGGCCTGACAGTGCTGTGACCCCACAGGCATGCTCCCTGACCCCAAGAACACTCACATCGTGGTAAGCTGGATGATCGCACAGTCAGTGACCGCGGTGGCAGGCGTGGTCTCCTACCCCTTCGACACAGTGAGGAGGCGGATGATGATGCAGTCAGGGCGCAAAGGAGGTACCGTGTCTCTGTTCTGGGTCTGGCTCTTCTGGAGGATGTGGGGAGAGAAAGCCCGCGTGCACCCCAGTCAGCCTAAGAGGTCTGGAGTCATCAGGGCGCTCCCCAGAGAGGTTTGGTTGACGTTTTGTCCCTGGCTTTGTGGAGGTAGCCCCGTCACTGGTTCTCCCTTTCCCTGTCTGGGATGCTGTCCCTGCCCTCTTCTGACCTCCTTTCTGGGGTGGCCACAGGCCCTGGGGGTAGGAGTAACTGGGCTGGCTCTCTAGTTCTCTGTTTGATCACACCCCCCAAAACAGGCCTGACAGGGCCTGTTAGCCCGGGCACTCAGGGTCCAGGACCTCACTTCTCCCCATGGTCCGAACTCCAAGCTGCCCAGATGGTGGTATCCGGGGGTTTCAGAGTAGGAGAACCTTGATTGGCCTTGTGCCCTTTCCTGGTGACCCTCCTGACTTCCGCTCCCGTCTGCCCACAGCCGACATCATGTACACAGGGACGGTGGACTGCTGGCGGAAGATCTTCAAAGAGGAGGGCGGCAAGGCATTCTTCAAGGGCGCCTGGTCCAATGTCCTCAGGGGCATGGGCGGTGCCTTCGTGCTGGTCCTCTATGACGAGCTAAAGAAGGTTATCTAGGCGCATTCCCCGCCCAGACCCCACACCCGGGACCAGGAGGGCCGCTCCAGGCGCCTCGCGGTTACGGACCACTGACCTTCCAGCGATTCCAACACCCTCGGCTGACCAGATCACCTGTAGAGCGCCAGGCAGGGCTCCAGAACGGGCCCGTTGTGATCATGACCACTGGCACCCTGATTCCACGCATCCCACAATTAGGGGGAGGGAACCCCGACGTCCTGCCGGGACCTCGGGCAGGGCCGCTCCGCCCGCCTTGCAGGCCCGGGCTGTGCATAGCGTTTATTTAAAGAAAACCATGCTGCCCCTTTGTGCTTCTGCACTGTCCCCCCCTGCACAGCTGAGTTTTTGCAATATCGTTTTATGTCGGGCATTCTGCAAACAATTAAATCCAGACACAGACTGCTGGTTTCAGTTTGATCTGATGGCCCCGAGGAGCAGGGGGCCAGGCACAAGGGGTCCAGAAGGGGCCACATCTGCCTCGTAGCAGGCCCCTGGCTGCCCTTGGGTGCTGAGGAGGAGCAGATAAATGTGGGAGACCCCTGTGGCCACTGAGGGCCCCTGCTCAGAAACCTTTCAGGAAAGAGGCCTTTCTCTCCTGAAATCCCCTCCCACAAACCCTAGGTCTGTCCCCCCCCATCTTTCCTGCGGTAACCATGTAGCCTCAGTTTTCCCTCCAAGGAGCCCAGGAGTGACATCCCTGGTACATGCCCTGCCTACACCTGCCTTGGCTCTCCAGCAGAACCCCTTACAAAGGGAATACAGGTGTGTCACCATAAACTGGCCTAGTCTGGACCTGGCTGGAGGTGGGATTCTGACCTCCTCTGGGCTTGTCTCCTGGGGAATGGGGTTGTAGCCCAGTGGGCCCGAGCCTGCTGTGCTGGGGTGTCCAGAGTCCTGGCCTAGGAGGGCAGAGCCTGAGGTTCCAGGACCTCAATTCACCCACAGTGAGGTGGTCAGATTAGAGGTGACATTTTCCAGCCAGCTTTACCCAAGGTCAGCTGCCACCTGCAGGCTACAGGGCAGGGCAGCCCTCACACCTATGTGGCTCCTGCCTCCTCAGCAGAGGGACCAGCTCCTGAGCCCCTTAGCCCTGCCTTAGCAGCAGAGTAACCAGGGACTTGCTCCCCAGTTGTCTGTCCCTGGACTTGTGCCAACACGTGGGTTCTGCATTGGGACCTAGTTCCAGCCCTGTTCATACTCACCTGGCTGAGAACGGACCAGTTAGGTCGCCCAGGCCTTGCTTAATTAGCAGCTCACCAAACTCAGATCAGATCTGCCCTTGGCTCCCAGGGACATTCTGCAAATTGTGTGTTCTTGTTTCCTGGGTGGGGGAAGGGGGTGTCACAGCCAACAGCAGTTGGCATTGGAATGTTGGATAATTTCTGCCCCTGACACACTGGTAATGGGAGGCATGCCAGTAAACAAGGTTAAACATTAGAGGTCACCTTCCAGGTAAATGCCTCAGGCACTGTGTCCTGGGAGCCCTACCTGCTTGTCCCAGATCCAGGCTCCTGTGGGCAGGTGTGTGGACATCAATACCCTTTTTCGTGGGTTCACAGGTGGGTGTCCGGTGTCTCCCCAGGGAGGGCTTTATGTTGGGAGCAACCCTTGCGGCAGTGGGGTGTCCATGGGTCCCCTGCTTCCCCCTCTGGACACATTATCTGCTGCTCAAACGCATTCCCCTGGGGTCCTGCAGGTAACTGTGCCACTGTGTGAGCCCCTTTGTTATGTAAAGAATGCAAGGGGCTTATGAATGGCAATGCATCCAGAAGCGCCTAATAGACTGGTTCTGGTTAGGGCACGTGCCCAGGTTATGGGCTCAATCCCCAGCAGGGGGCGTGCAGGAGGCAGCCGATCAATTGATATTTCTATCTCCCTCTCCCTCTCTGAAATCAATAGACATTTTTTTAAAAACAACAACACATAATACAATTAGACACCAGAAATCCACAGTGGGCGGCTTGAGGACTGGAAGGGGTGAGGGGTGGACGCCAACTGCAGGGGCCCAGTGAGTGGGTTGAAAAGCACTTTATTTCGTTTCTTTCTGGTGGTAGCTCCGGTGAAAACTGCATTTGGGTTTCCCGCCCCCTCATCCTGAGGCCACCAGGCTGTGTAGGCGCTTGGCCCATGCGGAGAGCCGGGTCCAGGGTCACGTTTCCCTCAAGAGCTGCACCTCAGCTACGGGACACTCTTGTTGGGTGCGTTTGCAGTCCTCCCAGGCCATCTGCTGGGTGAGAGGGAACTCCAGGTGGGTCACAGGCCCCCCTGGAGGGCAGTAAATGCACCCTCGACAGCCCCCGGGGCCTGGCCCATCCAGAACTTGCCCCAGCCAGAGCGCAAGGGGCAGGGGTCATGGGCTCCTGGGTCTGCCAGCCTGGCAGGTCCCCTCATGGCGACCTCTCCGTGGTCATAGGCCGGGAGCCCACTCCTCCCGTGGCCACCACTCACCGGGGCCATCAGATCTGCACCCCACTCTCTGCACGGGGCTGTGGCCACCTCCCCAGATTCATCCACTGTAGAAGCCCGGACATACCATCTTCTCATCCTGAAAGTTGTCACCTGTGGGGTCCTTCACATGAGGGATGGGAGGGAACAGCATCTTCAGCACCGAGTACCTGAGAGAGATTCACCTGAGCCCCAATCCAGCACCAGCGTTCATTTCCATCCAGGCGACACAGGGACCCTGGGCCTCCGAAGTCTCTGTTCCCGCCCCCCAAGAATGAGTAATCGTAGTCCTAGCCCCAGAGGAGCTGATACCTGCATCTTTATAAAGACCAAGGTTGCCATGGTCCCATCCCAACAGCTTCTGCAGGAAGCCGATTGTCCCCTACCTGGAGCTGTGGCCAGTCCACTCCTAA